CTTAGTCTGCCACCTTCAGGCTTCTGGAGGTGGGAGAGCTAAACTGAATCTGTCAGTGTTTAGGAGGGAAGCCTGAACATAGAATAAGATAACAAGTGTTCTGTCCACTAGATATGGATGGCAGAGCATTCTGCATGCTAGCTGGGTGTTTCTACATTGTAGAATATGATTGATAGATGTAAATCTTCCTGTAGCAGGAGATTGCTAAGTGACTGCGGTGCCTTGAGTTCTGGGACACTATAAAAGGGTCTAGTCTTTAGAAATGATGCTATTGGCTGTTGGCTCTGATAAAAACACATTGTAGGGAAAAATTGAATACACTATCATGAGTATTTGATTTTGTTGCAAAAACATAAGCCAGGAAGTTGATGTAAAATGAAGCAGTGTTAAGAATGGAGGTAGTATTCCTCTGAAGGAAAGGTACGAGTGCTTTGTTACTGTGGATCAAACAAGGGCTGAAAAATCATACACAGACACTAAAGCACTAAAATGATCACCTGTTTTATAAAGCAGCACATTTCAGATATTTTTTAGAGCAGCTTTTCATGTTACAGGCAGAACTTCCCCCTCTTCTCCAGGTCTTTGAATTCCCAGCATTTTTCCTTGGATATTGCATAGGAAGTTGCAAAGAAGCAATATGATTCACTTGGGCTTCCTCCCCCTGCCTGCTTTTATATAATATCTGAAAGTGTTGCTAAGAATATTTTTAAAAGAACCCGATAGATTTCCATCCCATGAAACAAGAGAAGTATAATAAAAAGCGACTAAAAGGAAAAAAAATATGTTTGTTTAATAAAATGCATATACAGCTTGATTGTAAATAGTGGTTTACAAAAACCCCCACCAATCATTAAACAAGGTATCAGTGAAGTTTATTCATTTATTTATAAAAACTCTATTTATTTTACCTACTCACATAGGTTGTAGGGTGAACAGGAGATTACACAAAGTGTGCTTAGGCACAGAATATTCATGTCTCTCTTTCATAATGCTGGCACTGTCTGTGGCTGGAGGAAAATGAATTAAATATGGATTTGGTGCAGTATGTCCTTCCTTCAGAGTTTTGAAAAGGAGCCAGGAAACAAAATAATACTGTAGTCACAATTGTTCCCTGTAGTCAAAGGGAAAGAGTTAGCTTTTAAAATGCATGAAATTGCCTTCCCTTTTTTTTCTTCAATAATAAAATCAGGATCCCATGTGTATTATAAAATGCCTGTGGCAGTCTGTGCAGTTTGACAAGTACATACTAATCCATAAGACTAGTTTAGGGTTCAGCATGTATTTTCACAGCACGCCCCTTTAAAGGAAAAAAGAGAGCTTGTTTACAACCAGCCCATTAAATCAGCACAACAGCTTGTTGAAGAAATGTCTAGTATTTCAACCACAGGCATGCTACTTTGGGAGCCGTGCTTATATCGTAAAAGAACATTGTTAGGTCTATGTATATCCTTCTATTTCTCACTTTCATTGTGTTGGTGGGGAGGGGGGTCGGAGAATCAACTTCCACAATTGGCAACCACCGAATCCTAATGGAAGAATGGATTCTCTTTAAACAGATCCCATGGACTTTGTTTCTGAAGAGCCAGCTTTCAAAAATGAAGATTCAACGGTACAGTTCTATTATCATTTTATGAATGGCTAAATCCACTGAGGTTCTTGTACAGCACCTTCCAGGATTGATAATGAAGTTGGCTTATGCCTTCCAAACAGCAGTTCTTTCTATTCTTGTTCCAAGAGAAATACAGTATATAAGCTGCCTGAGTAATTTCAACATTCACCCAGACAGTATGGTTTGCTATGGGGGAAGAAGTAATTTTATTTTTATTTTTTGCCTGGGATACAAAGCTACGATAATTGTGACCAGTGATATTTTAGTTGGGCATATATACTGCAGGAATAGCTTCTGAGAACTAGGGGCTTTTATGACTGCAGCTCTGTTCTGCAGAGACTTCTATTTATCTTGTTGTGACATAAAGTCGATGGCAATAATTTACTATGTCCAAAATCAAACGTGCTGTCTTACTGATGATGAATGCAGTTAACTCTGCTTTGCGGGAGAACTAATGAAACACAACCATCTTATTCCATGCATCTTAGAATACGTGTCTCTGTGGAGCTGCTTTATATTTAGTTGGACCCCCTCAATGGCACTCCTTTGTCTTAGCTCAACATGTTTCCCTGTTACCTGTGATCCTTTTTCAGCTGGTGATTGCATTGCAAACAACATGTTCTGTCACTCAGCTCTAGTCCTTTATTTTCTGTAAGAGTGCCTTGCCTTCAGTGGTGGCTGGTGGGGCAGAAGGCAGGGAGCCCAGACGGTAGATTGAGCCAGAGCCAATGGCGGGTTGAGCCAATTAATTCTAGTTCCATCTTCCATCCTCTTCCTTGCTGAGTTCTACAAGGGCAACACTGTGATAAAGGAAGGCAAGCAGGCAGGCAGGGACTGGCTTAAGGGAGACTGGTTGGTGGGGCAGCACCAGACTTGCCCTATTGGACCAGACTTCACAGCTGGTATTTATGGTCATTTGATGGTGGCCCCTAGTTAACCAGAACAGATATCTCCAGCAGGCCTAACTATGGGCTGGATTCTGGCCAATGTGTTTGCATCTGACATGGGAGTGGGTGGTTCATAGGAGAGCTCCCATGTCTTTAAATCACACTGGGGAATGAATTAGACTACACAGGGAGCAGATGGCTCTGATGTTCTGTGGTCTGCTTTGATTTTGTTTTCTTTTTGAAAGTAAATTATAGGTTGTTCACCTAAAAGCTTTGGGATGTGTTTTTTCTTTATCTGATGCCTATAAAAGAAAAGAGCTGGTCAATGTCACCCCTCTTCCAGTGACAGCCCCCTGCATTATTTGAAATAAAAAATTCCCAGTGGCCCAGAATAATGGTTGAAGCCCTGATTTTTGCTGTTTGGGAAAATTAGGAGCTTACTAAGGCAGACGATCGTCTTTTATTCTTTGTGGGTGGTTTTGCATGACATTGAAAAAAAAAATAACAATGAGTGTTTTTGAAATACAGTGAGTGTTTTTTTGAAAAAGACATTGCATTCTGAAATTTTCCAAGCTGGAACAAAATCTATTTCCCATTTGTTTTGCAGTTTTACAGAGATCATGTGATTCAGCCAAGTGAAAATGAAGATGATTTAGGTAAGGAACAGCTGTGTTTTTTCACACACACCCCAATGCCTTATAATCTTCTGGTTATCACTGAGCAGGAATTTCTCTCTGGTGACAAGGAGTTGCAGGTTTGGAGATGCACTACAGAGACCTGTCTCCCTTCTCTGTCTCTCTCTTCCACTTTTTTTAGCTGCCTTAAAGGACCAGTACCTTGCTCTATGTTTCTGGGCTGACCACCAGGGGGAAGGTGTTGTGTCTCTGGGCCTCTTCATGTTCCGACTTCCAGCCTCCATTGTTTTCTTTCCTGGTTCAAAGTGGAGGCAGCAGGGAGGCAGGCTCTGTCCTCAGCTCTGCTTGCAAGACAGAAATCATATGGGAAATAAGGTGCTCGAACAGAGCATGAGCTGAATGCCTCTTTATGGATGCTAATTAGTAGTTCTGTTCAATCTCACATTTAAGCACGTAAGACTAGACCATTGTTGTTGTTGTTGTTGTTGTTGTTGTTTTGTTTAAGCTATTCTCAGTCACAAGAGACCAGCGTGGTATTAAGCAACATATTAATGACTCATTTCAAATATTAACATAAATGCTCGTTTACATATTTTTCAGTTTTGAGAGATCAGATTCATTGAAGGTATAATACATTTGCAAATTTGTGTCACCTTCTGAGGCAGAATGGGAAGGTTTCTCTGCTTGCAGAAGCCTTGCCTACTGGGTTTGCATGGCAACGGCAGCAGGGGTGGGTGGGGGCACTTGTGGGGGCACCGCTCCTCAGGATTCTACCACCTAAGGTGGATGCTTCAGTCCACCTTATGGGCAGGCCGGCCATGGTAAGGCCTGACACAAATGGGAAGAGTTGTCTCCTAACACCTCTCCATCCCTGGACTCATCTGGTGCAAGCAGCGCAGAAGGCAGTGTGTAGAAGTTCTTAAAAGTAACTAAGCTGTTGCAAAGGGGTAGGACATGGTGATGATTTATTTGTAATGGAAAATATGCCGCACATCTTTTAAACCGAGTTGTTCCTTAATAAAAGATGAATGCTGCAGTATTATCACACCAAATAGCTTGACGTTTTTTAAAAAACAACATTGTTTTGGGTTTCTTTCTTTCTTTGGCCATTGTTATATAAATAAGCATAATTGTTTTGGCAAGCAAAGAGCACAGCGGGCGACAGGACTGGGGGGGAAATAGAAAGATGACAATAATCAGGGGAAAGGAATGAGGAAAATGAGAGATAATGGCATCAGGGGAATGTCCAGAGAGAAAGGAACAAGAGAAATAAATAAACTAGGGAGGGATAGGACAAAGTATCTGTGTCTATGTCATAAAATTAATATTACAAGTCAAGTTATTATAAATTGTAAAGCTGATAAGGCTCTCCTCTTCTTCTGCATTACTGTCTCACTTAACAGAACATCTTTTGATTAGAAGGAATTAGAATATTAGGAATTGAAGGCATCTTTTGAAAAGCTTGTCAAGATCTCTTCCATTGGATTAACAGTCTGCTGTTATGACCTTCCATCGCAGACAACAGCAAGACTTTTCTGCCAAAAGGAAACTCTTTATACAAGGAGGGCACTATTCATTTATACAAATGCAAGAAGCCCCTTTTGTTTTACTTCAGGTCCTTTATTTTAAGGGTTGTTTTCCTCCTATGTAGGGATCTGGAATAAGACGCAGCTTTTCAAAAAATGGCCTCAGGCAGCTAAAGATCTTGAGCTAGCTCTGCAAAACAGGGATGCTCTCATGATCTCTGCCTGTAGTTTGTTGCCACATTGTTATGCCATTACACAATGTAGGAAGTTATGTTCTGTAAAGAATCAAGTTATAAACATACAATTGTTTTAGTGACATATCTTTGCTTTTACTCATATATGGAAAGTTGTAGCTCAGCGGTAGAAAAATCTGCTTTGCACACAGAAGGCCCTAGATTCAATCCCTGGCAACTTCAGGCATGACTGGAAATGTCCCCTTTCTCAAACCTTGAAGAGCCACTGCCAATCAGTGTAGATCAGAGGTGAGCAACATCCAGCCTATGGGCCAACCTCCCTCACCAGGGAGTCAAAATAGTCCTGTGGGGCCATTTTGTCCAAACCGCTCCCACTTGCCCATCCGTTGATGTCACCTGTGACACCAGCTGATGAGTAGGAGGATAGGGTTAATTCCTGCATCAGCTGTACATCCCCTTTTTCTCACCAAGGAACAGGCATGCGCAGCCAAGGCAGCAAAATTACATTCCCATGCATCAGCAGAGGAGCAAGGCTTAAACCTTGCTCAGTTCAGCAGGATTCCATGCAAACCCCTTCAATGATTGTTGCAAATCCATAACTACAGAATAAGACGGTATCTTGTGTGGGGCCTTTTTCGTGATGGCTCTGCAGAGACCGAGGGAAAAGAGAAGACGTTAATTTCTGATTTAATTCACTGAAACGAGCTAAGTGTGAATATTGCTCTTAATTGATGTATTAGGAAACTTTCTTCCATTTTTTCCCCTTTTACCTATAACGCACTTTAGGTGAGATTTTTCTGTTCTGAGGTTCCATTATGCATTGAATTGCATTGATCTCTTCATCGGAACTGCTTCCTGCCATGGATAGTTCTATGTAGTCTAGGTCATGTTGCTCAGTGCTGACTACTCTTCCTTGCACGCGTATGGCTCTTTGGTCTAAACCACTGAGCCTCTTGGGCTTGCCAGTCGGAAAGTTGGCGTTTCAAATCCCTGCGACGGGGTGAGCTCCTGTTGCTCTGTCCCATCTCCTGCCAACCCAGCAGTTCAAAAGCACACCAGTGCAAGTAGATAAATAGGTACCGCTGCAGCGGAAAGGTAAACAGCATTTCTGTGCACTCTGGTTTCCGTCACTGTGTTCCGTTGCACCAGAAGCTGTTTAGTCATGCTGGCCACATGACCTGGAAAGCTGTCTTTGGTCAAATGCCGGCTCCCTCGGCCTGAAAGCACAGATGAGTGCTGCAACCCCATAGTCGCCTTTGACTGGACTTAACTGTCCAGGAGCCCTTTACCTTTACCGTTCTTCCTTGCAGCAACTCTTCAGAATCTTTCACACCAGCTGCATCTTAGAAATGGCAGGGCTTGATCCCTGGGGACCTCTGCATACAAAGTTCATGCTCTGCCACTGAGCTATGGTCAGTGTTTCTTTGGTGTGTGCTTTCTGAGGCCCAGATTACATGTGAGGTGAGATGATGATACGTTGAATTGCATCCATTTAGAACTGAGATAGCCAGTGAGGTGCCCTGCAGATTGAAACAACTCCCATTTACCCCAGCCAGGATAGCCGATGGTCAACAGTGTTGCAGTCCGTAACATGTGGAGAACTCTTTCCCCTGTTGAGCTAGTTTAGCTTGCAGAGAGTTGGGTAGCATTCACAAATGGACAACCTCACAATGGCATTTCTGCAGTATTGGAAAATAGGAAGTTGTCTTATATTGAGTAAGAATATTGATCTACCTAATTCAGTGTCATCTGTGCGGATGGCAGTGGTATCAGACAGGAGCCTTTCCCAGCCAGAGAATGACCATGGGACATTCTGCATGCAAATCATATGCTCTGTACCACTGAGCTATGGCCCTTTCCTAGGAAGATCTAGAGGTCAGAGATTGGATAGTGGCTTGATTTACTACTAACTTTTATCTAAGTGCTTGAGACTAGGAGTTGTGGAAGATTGCACAGTTGGTTATATGTAACAGTATAATAAGAGCAATATGTTTTTAAAAGAAAAAATGACTGCCCTCTCCCGCCCCATCCTAAGGCTGAGGATGTATGCACAATACCTATTTTCAAAGTTGCAAAAGCTTGTTTTAACTGGAAAAACATGTATTTTCCATTTTTAAATTTTTTTTTTTAAATGTGTTAATGTGAAGTATCTGCTGAAAAATAAGGAAGGCTGGGGGAGCGCACAGTTTTAGATAATAGCAGCCTGGCGTACAGAGTTACATTGTTCAAGTGACCTGGCAGCTGATGTTTTTTATTTTGCTGAGCTCCCTGGCTTGTATTACCGAGGAGGTGAGAGATTCTGCCGACCACAGCTTGCACTCCAGAAGATAAAAAGCACCGAGGCCAAATTTTTGGCATGCTTCATGGTGTGACCAGGGTAGCAGCAGAAAACTTAAAGGATTGTGTCTTTTGAGTTTTTTGGTTTCCTCAGTAATTCTAGTTTAATCGCTCAGCACTCTGAGCTATTCAACAGAATGGTCTGCTGCACTTTGTGAACCTCTGGGGTGGCAATGAAATTTGTGTAAACTCATGGTTTCAGTACTGTATTGTATTTTCTTACCTTTATTTCCTACCCGTGATACAAAAGACTAAATCTACTTCCCTCCTCCTTGAGTAAATCAGTTAATCCATTTTAAAATGTTATGGGTTTCCCTGTCCCCACTCCACACAGAAGTCCTGTGTCATCCTTACACAAATGAAATACTTGTTTACTTCTCATTTGGTTTGGAAGAGAGTTTTAGGCTGCAGCTCTAACCAAGAGCTACTCAGAAATGGGTTACACTGAATTCTGCGAGGCTTACTGCCAGGTAACTAGAGTTAAAACTGCAAACTTAGATAGCTGTGCCTCAGTCCAGATAGTGTGGAAAGTTGTTTTGTAGAACAAGACTGGGAACAGATGGCTGAAAAGGGGCTTAGAACAGACCATTTCCATGGTTTCCTTTAGGGTATAGGGCAGAGCTAGCAAGCCAAGAGGAATCTTTATGTGCGTGGCTTATCTTAATGCAGTGAGCTTGCAACTGGCAAGCAGCAGAGCAAAATAGGCTTGTTGAGCACAGGCTCCTGCTCTGTCTGTGCCAAGAGTCTTTCTGTAGCACATTTAGTTCAATGTATGTTGATACCCCCCTCCCCACATAGAGATGTTGACACCTGCATTGGTGCCATTCTGATTTCATTTTTCGCCCTCTTACACACTGGTCCTGTTTCAGAGTTATTAATGGAATCGGCTCTGGAGCTTCCAAGTCCTGACATGCTTATATTTTCAAAACAATGAAAATGGTTTTAAAATCCAGAATGTTACAGTGAATCTTATGCTGCACTATATATAAAATAATCAATACGGGGCGTTGGGTTGCAAGAAAGCAAGTTTTGGATTGCAGAGAGACGTGAGAAAATGCTCTCTTTTATTGTCTGAAAATTTATGGTTATGCAAGCGTAAACAGAGCTTAAAGAAATTATTTCCAAGAAAAATATTAAGTGGGCACTTTATGTTCTCTCTTTTCTTGGCTTCCTTCAAACCTCAACGCTGAAGAAAAGAGAGGTGAGTAAATGATGAAGAAACTGTAGCCATGCACAGTTTGGGTTCCCAGAACTTTACTAAAAACAACTTCAGGAGTGTTGCATAAAGAATCCTTTTAGTCAGATAATTCAGTCCACTTCTTTGCCAGGCTTTCATTCCCTCTCTCCTTCCATCACATATGTGAAAATACCCCGAATGAGAATGTGTGGGAAATAGATAATCCATAGTTCTGATGATATCGTAAAATAATGGAAATTAGCCTCCTTCCCTCTCAGTCATTCCTTCGTGTCAAGTTCGTAGTTTAGCACTAACCAGGGTTTGCCGCTATGATTAGTGCTTGCCCTCTAAACCAGAATTGTAATCCAGGCTTTGAAATGGGCTTCTAGTTCTAACTTAAGGACAAATGTTAACCATGGTTTGCAGCAAACACTGGTTAGCACTAAGCTGCAAACTGAAGGTGGAGGCACATTTTGAGAGAGGAATTGAAGCTCATTTCAAAACCTTGACTTGGAGGGTCATCTGAACAGAGCCAATACCTTTATTGTATATAGTAGCTGAGGTGTTTCTGTTCATGTTCCCTATCTTTTCTACTTGTTCATATTGTGTTTACCTTTGACTTACTGACTTGTATTAAATATACATAAATTATTCTTTTTAATTGACCTTAACATTTTGAGCTGCACTATTCTAGAGAGCTGGCTGTGTCAGCAAAAAGGCCCACCCACTTAAAAAAAAACTCCATGGGGGGGGGAGACTCCCTTGGCCCCTATAGAGCTGGTGCCTATGCAAGGAGGCCAGGACCAGCTAAAACAGCTGAATTAGCTTCATGAGTGGGACCAACTTGATCCTACATTTTTCACCTCCTTCTGGAAGCAGATGTTGAATTAGGGTCTAGGATGTTGAATTGGGGTCTAGGGAAATGTTGGAAGCGGTTTTCCTGTTGTTGGAAATAGCAAAACGCTCATAATGAGGCTAAATCAGAGCTGGAACTACAGGGAACCGGTCTGAACTAGAGACTGGATCGCTTATGCAACTGTGCCCTTAATTCATGCTGAGAATATTATGTAACCGCAGTGGAATATGCCAAGGCTTGTTCGCAGGATGTCTAGTTAGTCTTGAGTTTGTTGAATAGAATCAGAGAGTGACAATAATTGACACAGACCTGAAAATCATCTAGTCCACTCTGAAACTCTGCCCCAAGGCACGATCCTCCATGCTGCACATTTAACAACATTGTGCACTTAATTTCCACAGATTTACTGATTTAATATTTAATGCTGTAACCTACCTTCTCACCCTGCCTTCTCAAGGTGTTGTTCAGTAATGGTGCAGCTTATTTTGATAATGCAACCAGCAAGAGAGTGGTGGAAGCAAGGTGCTCTGTGTTAAAAAAAAAAATCCTGCCTGGAACAAGAAATTATTTGAGCACAATATTTGTTAACTTGGACCAGAGTGTTCTTGCCATGATTCCTTTAAAGTAGGAGTGGGGGACCTGCAGCCCACAGGCCACACTTGGCTCACCAGTTCTCCATTTGGCCCATGAGACCATTTTCAGGAAGCCAGGCTTATTTGTCCTACAGCACAAGTCAGCTGATGGGTGGTTGGAGCATGCCTTGCGGAAGGAGGGGAATCCAGAGCACAGCGCTGAGAGGGAGAGGTGAAATCCCACCCCCCCAGGCCCTCAGAGCACACCTAACATCACTAC